AGACCAGCCTGGCCAATATGGTGAAAATCCATCTCTACCAAAAATACAGAAATTAGCCTGGTGTGATGGCAGGCGCCTGTAGTCCCAGCTACTTGGGAGGCTGAGGCAGGAGAATCACTTGAACCTGGGGAGCAAAGGTTGCAGTGAGCTGAGATCATGCCACTGCACTCTAGCCTGGGTGACAAAGCGAGACTCTGTCTCAAAGAAGAATTCTGAAAATATTCTTTAGAAATAGATTAAGTAGATTTTTTTCCATTTGGAATAATAGGCCATCTTTTGAAAAGTAAGGGGGGTTTCTAAAGAGCATAAGGCCTCATACTAAAAGTTTCACCATGACAAGATGAATTCCTGGATGCTGCTGAAGGGATTACTGGAGATGTTGATTACTTAAGACATTAATAAGAGGGCATTAAAGCACAGCAGGACCAGCCTTCAATTAATGCCTGTGAAGGCACTGCCTAAGCTGACTTTGAAGTTGCTTCTTCAGTTTCTTAAACTCATAGCTTGATCTTCCTCAGTTTCTAGGAAGTTAGTATTTTGGTTTATAGATCATTATTATTTTACTTTATTGTCATGTCCCTAATTTACTCTCTTCCCTTGCTGTGGCCTTGAATGGTGGGTTTTACTGCATTCTCTCTACATCTTCTGCTAATATTTAAATATAGAATGATCTGAGAAGTGAAACTCCTAAATCAAGTTGACCAAATGCCAGGGCATTGTTTTATGAGTACACACATAGAATCACATGCATCAGCTCATAAACGACCTAATCTGAACCAGGTAATACACTGTACTTGTCTTCCTGTGGCAGTAGATTTTGAATATAAAAGCCCCTTTAGAATCTGACCAGGAAACTTCTCCTTATAGTGGTACCTCTTAGGTGATGGGGCCTCTGGGTCCTCCCTAGGGTTTTGCTATTGGTGGGCCTGATGTGGAGTCAGGAGTTTGAACAGGAGCAAAGATGGGATACAGAAGTCAAGACTAAGACTGGGTGTGGGAGCCCACACTTGTAATCCCAGTACTTTGGGAGGCTGAGACAGAAGGATCCCTTGAGGCCAGGGGTTCTTAAGATCAACCTGGGCAATACAGTGAGATCCTCTCTCTCTCTCTCTCTCTTTTTAGTTTTTTAGTTTAGTTTAGTTTTGTTTCTTGGAGAGGGAGTCTCACTCTGTCACCCAGGCTGGAGTGCAGTGGTGCGATCTTGGCTCACTGCAACCTCCACCTCCCGGGTTCAAGAGATTCTCCTGCCTCAGCCTCCTGAGTAGCTGGGATTATAGGCGCATGCCACCACGTCTGGCTAATTTTTGTATTTTTAGTAGAAATGGGGTTTCACCATGTTGGTCAGGCTGGTCTCGAACTCTTGACCTCATGATCTGTCCACCTCGGCCTCCCAAAAAGCTGAGATTACAGGAATGAGCCACTGTGCCAGGCCTGTGAGATCCTAACTCTACAGAAAATTAAAAAATAAATTACAAAAAGAGAAGTCAAGACTTAAAAATGCATGGCATTCTTCTGAGCTAAATGAGTGACCAAGTGAACATTGCTTACCCCACACTGTTGTGTTCTGAGTAGGTCTGTCAGGGGTAGGGCTTTAGGGGAACCAACTTGAATCTTAGTGCCTTGATTCTAGGCTTATCTCTGCCTCTTACTAGCTTCTTATTTGTTTTATTATTACTGTTATTTTTAAATAGAGACAGGGTCTTCCCATGTTGCCCAGGCTGATCTCAAACTCCTGGCCTCAAGTGATCCTCCTGCCTTGGCCTCCCAAAGCACTGGGATTACAAGCCTGAGCCACTGTGACCAGTCTGCCTCTTATTGTTATTGCTGTTGAGTATCTGAGCTTCAGGCTCTCATCTATACCATGGCCACAGTGTAGATGAGACAATCCCTTTCTTACAGATTGTCTTGGGGGCAGCTGAGATAACCCATGTGAAGTGTCCAGCTCACTGCAGCCTCCCTCTTCAGGTGATTTGGGGGTGTGGTGTGAGAATCTGGAGGGAAGAATACTGGGTGGCAGAGGCCCCAGAGAGCATTCACTGCCCATCTCAGCCAGGCAAGGAGGAAAGGCAAAGGACACGAATAATTGTTAAGCTAAATGCCCCCCCACCCCCACGTCTTTAATTATACCCTTTGCAACCATGAGCCATACAGTAAGGGAAACTTCTGCTTTCTTTATTTTTATTTTTTGAGATGGAGTTTTACTCTTATTGCCCAGGCCGGAGTGCAATGGCACAATCTTGGCTCACTGGAACCTCTACCTCCTGGTTCAGGTGATTTTTCTATCTCAGCCTCCCAAGCAGCTGGGATTACAGGCATGTGCCACCATGCCTGCCTCATTTATTGTATTTAGTAGAGACAGGGTTTCACCATGTTAGTCAGGCTGGTCTCAAACTCCTGACCTCAGGTGATCCATCTGCCTTGGCCTCCCACAATGTTGGGATTATAGGTGTTAGCCACCGCTCCTGGCCTCTCCTGCTCTAATATTTGACTTAACTGTCATGGCAAGAGGACTGAGAAAATTTCTTTAGCTTTTTTTTTTTCTTTTTGAGAGAATCTGGCAGTGTTGTCCAGGCTGGAGTGCAGTGGGGATCTCAGCTCACTGCAACCTCTGCCTCCAGGGTTCAAGTGATTCTCCTGCCTCAGCCCCCTGAGTAGCTGGGATTACAGGCACCTGACACCACACCTGGCTAATTTTGTATTTTTAGTAGAGATGGAGTTTTGCCATGTTGGTCAGGCTGGTCTCAAACTCCTGACCTCAGCTGATCCACCAGCCTCGGTTTCTCAAAGTGCTGGGATTATAGGCATAAGCCATGGCGCCAGGCCTGAGATTTCTTTAGCTTTGAATTTCACCTTTAGTGATTCCATCTCTTTCCCACCAGCAAAGAAACCCTTAGGGCAGAAGGCTCTGGATGCTAGCACAGAGCTGGGCCCTGCCTTGAAGTTACCTAGATAGGAGGAGAAGCACAAAGATTAGACTCTGTGTAGTTAGATAAAGCATGAAGTCCTGAGATAGGGAAGGAACAGACCCTGCGGGGAGAATATAGAAGTTAAAAAGCGCTCTCCTAGATTCACTTTTCTTCCAGGAAGCAAAATCACCCCATCACCTGGGGTTTAACTTCCAATGCCCCAGGCAGAATGCCGCAAGTCCAGTGTTTGAGAGCTTTGAGGCTGGAGGCTATGGCTCTCCTGGGGGCTTGCAGTGATGCCCTAACTAGAGAACACTCATTGCCTCTGGCCCCTGCCCACCTCTGGACCTCCTCGCACTTCACTCACACAGAGGCCTTTTTTGAAGTGTTTCCAAAAGGACTTTTTTTTCTTCTTCTTCAGAGCACTGGCTTCCCACATCCAAGTCCCCTGTCACCTCCCCAGAGGCACTTACCTGACCCCTCAGCTAAATCAATGTAGCTTCTCTGTGCCCATCCCAGGAACTCAAATATCTCCCTCTTAGCATTCATTTTAATTTCTTATATTTTATTTACTTGTTTATTATGTGTTGTCCCACAAGAGAATGTAAGCTCCAGGAGACAGACCACCCGTTTGTTCCCAGCCAGGTTCCCCAGGCTCCTCCTGTAGGGCCTGACCTGGAGTGATGAATATTTGCAGTGTGAATGCAGGGCTGGATGGAGTTCAGCTTACTTTCACTCACCTGGGAGGGCTTACATCCCTTGGAAGGTACACAACAGATTCTGGAAGGACTTTCACTGATTTGGGGTTCCAGGGACCACCCAGGAAATGATTTTTTGTTTGTTTGTTTTTGTTTTGAGACTGAATCTCACTCTGTCACCCAGGCTGGATGATTTCAGCTCATTGCAGCCTCTGCCTCCTGGGTTCAACTGATTCTCTCCTGACTCAGCCTCCCTGGAAGCTGGAACTATAAGTGTGTGCCACCATGCCCAGCTAATTTTTGTATTTTTAGTAGAGACGGGGTTTCATCATGTTGGCTAGGCTTGTCTTGAACTTCTGATCTTAGGCGATCCACCCACCTTGGCCTCCCAAAGTGCTGGGATTACAGGCATGAGCCACCATGTTTGGCCCAGGAAATGATCCTTAACTTTTGTAGGGTCTAGGATTTCTTTAGCTATTTGATAAAACCAGTGGACTCCCTTTCTCAAAAAAACATAAAGATGCATTCAAAACTCTGCTTACATCTAGTCTGTCTGTCTGGTAAATATAATTTAAAGAAAAAAGAAAAAAACCTCTGCTTACAATTTGGGAGTTTAGAGATTCTCAGTGCCCCGGGTAATATCCCTAGACTTAAGAAAAATCAAGGGGAGGAGAGAAATTGGAGAACCAACCTTCTACACCACAACTTAGGAGAGACCTCTTAAAAGGGTCGTGCTGCCCAGCACTTTGGGAGTCCAAGGCAGGTGGATCACCCTGAACGCAGGAGGCGGAGGTTGCAGTGAGCAGAGATCGTGCCATGCACTCCAGACTGGGCGACAGAGCGAGGCTCCGTCTCTAAATAAATAAATAATTAAATGGGGGCCTACTTCAAATGATCTTTACCTTAGGAATGCAGAGTTTATATTTTAAAAAGTGAAATGGGGCGGGAGGGGATAAGAAATCGCTTCTGGTTCCATCTCTGCCAACTGCTCCCTCCCTTGGAGGCTCAGAATAAGACAGCCTCCGACACTTTTTGCGAGTGTATCGGGAAGTGTCGTTGCCAGGTCTGATGATGAACGTCTGTGGAAGTAATGCAGGACGCACTCGCGCGGCAGAATCGCGAAAGGTCCCCGGAGTTCTCCACGCAGGGAGTTTCTAGCGGGCCACTCGCTCTCGCCTGCCCACCTGCGCCGGCTGCGGGCTGGCGGGGTGCAGAGGAGCGCGCGCAGGTGCATTCGCCCCAGGTGCGGCCGGCGCGGGGCGGGAACAGCTGCGGCCAAGGTGGGGGCGGGGAGGGGGTACAGAGGAGAGGCAGAAAGGAGAGGGGAAGAAGAGGAGGAGGAGGAGGAGGAGGAAGAGGAGGAAGGAGAAGGAAGAAAGTATAAGAACGCGGGGCGGGGGAGCGGGGTGGAGCGCGCGGGGAGGAGGCAGCCGCGCTGGGAGGAGTCTGCAAACTTTCAGCGCGAGGGCATTGTGGGAAGCAGCCATGGTCTAAACCTCACCTGTCAGCCGCGCCGGCTCCTGCGCTCGCCTCTTGCCCTCGCTTCTCGAGTGCTCCTAGCTAGCACGGCGGGGGCGGCGGCAGCACCGCCACAATGGTGAGTGCTGGGAAACCGCCGGGCCGGGTGGACGACGGGGGCGCGCGAGCTCCGGGGAGGCACCTGGGGCGTCCGGGCCGGGGTGCGGGCCGAGTCCCTCCCGGTCCCCCTAACAGCGCGCTCTGGTGGCCCCGCCGCCCGGGATGGCGCGGGCTCGCCAGGATCGCTTGCCCTGGATTCCTGCGGCAACTCGCCGCTGCGGCTCCATTCATTCGATCTGCGTTTGCCGTGCGTTTAGTCTGTGCAGGGCTCGGTGCTGGGCGCTGGGGATGCCTCGGGGGACCAGGCGAAGCCCCTGCTCTCCAGGAGGCTTACCTTCTAGGAGGGGGATGCGGAGGGAGGGAAGCATGCGATATACAAGTAAAACGAAGAGAACTTCCAGAGTAAGAAGCGCTCTGAAGTCTCAAATACAACTGGGTGAGTGACAACTTTTGATTTGGCAAAACTTCTTCAAGGACATGACATTCTAGCTGCTGGAGGTCCTGGAGGGGCGCTGCAGGTGGATTAGAGAGGGCAAAGGGGAGGGGAGGTGGGCATTTGCCAGGTGAGGCGGTTTCTTACAGCCCAAAGTAAGGAGTTTGGTTTTTGTTCCAACTGAGTAGGGGAATCCTTGCAAGAAAACTGACCTTACCCATTGTGCACTTTTTTTTTTCGAGGCGGATCTCGCTCTGTTGCCCAGTCTGGAGTGCAGTGGCGTGATCTCGGCTTACTGCAACCTCCACCTCCTGGGTTCAAGCGATTCTCTTGTCTCCTGCCTTGGCCTCCTGAGTAGCTGGGATTGCAGCTGTGTGCCACCACGTCCTGCTAATTTTTGTACTTTTGGTAGAGACGAGGTTTCCCCATATTGGTCAGGCTGGTGTCGAACTCCTGACCTCAGGTGATCTGCCTGCCTCGATCTCCCAAAATGCTGGGATACGGGCGTGAGCCACCGCGCCTGGCCTGTTGGGCATTTTTAAGAGACCCCTTTGGTAGTTGTCGGAGAATGGACTGGGTGTGTAAGGACAGAAGGTAAAGAGTCAGGTTGGAATCTGAGGCCGGCTGCAGCCCTGCTGGTGAGAGATCTGGTGACCTGCACTTGGGTGGAAGCAGTAGTAGTTCAGGCTCCTCTTGCTCTTGCCTGCTGTTTAGGAGTGCGGTGGTCTGAACATCACTAGTCCCACTTTCCTAAGTGTGGGCCCACTTCCCAAATCCCCAGAAGGGAAGTGACCTGCACTCTGTGGGTTCACTGGAGGCAGGAGTGGGTGGGCCACATGGGCTAAGAAAGCTGATTAACAAGGAGAGCCCTGCAGTGCTGAGCACCAGGCCAGCAAGACCGCAGATGCTGGTTCCTGTGAAAAGTTTGGCTGCACACATTAGAGGTGTCATTTTTGTCTGTTGCAGGTTCTTTGTAAATACAGCATGATGCAAAAACAATGCTGTAAATAATGGAGCAGCTTTCTTGGCTTGCTCAGGTTTCCCAAGGAACAAGGTGACAGGTGCCCAGTCCACCAGTGTCATTTGCCTAACGGAGGCTAGAATAAGGCCCTGCATTTCTGAGTCGTCAAAGGCAGCTTTCATGCTGTGGCCTGGGCCAAGGTCTGGTCTATGAGGAAAAAAACTCCCCTGGACAACACCTATGGTGGAGTTTTGTTTTTTCTTGCTGGTGTCATATGTGTGATGAGTTGATCAGAAATGTGGGAAGTTTCTCCAGATTTTCTACAAGCTTTTGCCAAATGGGAAACATTAACGTTATTGGGCACTTGTGATAAGGCAAGCAGGATGTCCAGCTCTTTTCACTCATGATCTCACTCAATCCTTGCAACAAACAAGTGAGGTTAAGTCTGTTATGCTCATTGCGCTTTATCTTCTCTGAGCTATTCTAGCAGTATGGCCTTGGACAATTCCTTGATCTCTCTGTCTCAGTTTCCCTGTTTGAAAAATGGAGATAATGGTTCCTAACTCATAAGGCAGAGGTTCTGAGTACAGCCTGTGTGCCCCCAGGAGTCCCCAAGACTTTTAGTGGAGGTCTGCAAGGTCAAAACTATTTTCATACTAATACTAAGATATTAATTTCCCCATTTCATTCTCATTTTCATAAGGCTACAGTGACGTTTTCTTGGGTCTACATAAGCTGAGATAGCACAACGGATTGAACACAGATGCAGATAGGAAGGTCCAACTGTCTTTGATAAGCCCAGATATTAGGAGATTTGCAAAACTGTAAAACAGTACCATGCTTTTCACCAATTTTTTTTATTTTGCTTTGGAAAATATTGTTATTGGTCATAAAAATGTTAAGTTTAATGTGTAGTAGGTTTACTATTTTAAAATATTTATTTATTTATTTATTTATTTTGAGACAGAGTCTCTGTGTCACCCAAGCTGAGTGCAGTGGTGAGATCACGGCTCACAGCAGCCTCAACCTCCTGGGCTCCAGCAATCCTCCTCCCCCAGTTTCCCAAGTAGCTGGGACTATAGGCAAGTGCCACCATGCCCAGCTAATGTTTTATTTTAATTTTTTGAGATAAGACTTGTTCTATCCCCAGGGGACAGTGCAGTGGCATAAGCATGGCTCACTGCTGCCTCACCTTATTGGGCTCAAGGTATCCTCTTACCTCAGCCTTTCATGTAGCTGGGAGCACAGCTGTGTGCCATCACACCCAGGTAATTTTTTGAGTTTTATAGAAATGAGGCTTTACTTTGTTGCCCTGGCTGGTCTTGAACTCTTGAACTCATGCAGTCTTCCCACCTTGTCCTCCCAAAGTGCTGAGATTATAGGCATGAACAACTGGGCCCATGGAATTTTTTATTTTTTGTAGAAATGGAGCCTTGCAGGCCAGGCGTGGTGGCTCACGCCTGTAATCCCAGCACTTTGGAAGGCCAAGACGGATCGATCACCAGGTGAGGAGCTCAAGACCAGCCTGGCCAACATGGAGAAACCCCATCTCTACTAAAAATACAAAAATTAGCTAGGTGAGATGATGTGTACATGTAGTCCTAGCTACTTGGGAATCTGAGGCAGGAGAATCACTTGAACCCGGGAGGTGGAGGTTACAGTGAGCTGAGATTGCACCACTACACCCCAGCTTGGTGACTGAGTGAGACTCTGGCAAAAAGAAAAAAAAAAGAAATCGAGCCTTGCTATGTTGCCCAAGCTGTATTGTTTTAAAATATATTATTATCTGTCTTATCCATTTTAAATTCAAATAGAATAAATATCAGTGGATATAACCCACATAAACAAAAAGTTCTTTGGGATTGATGGGTGGATCACCCAAGATTGGGAGTTCGAGACCAGCCTGACCAACATTGTGAAACCCCGTCCCTACTAAAAATACAAAATTGGCTGGGCTTGGTGGTGCATGTCTGTAATCCCAGCTACTCAGGAGGCTGAGGCAGGAGAATCACTTGAACCCCGGAGCTGGAGGCTGTGGTGAGCCAAGATTGCACCATTGCACTCCAGTGTAGGCAAAAAGAGCAAAACTCCATCTCAAAAGAGTGTAAAGCCATCCAAAACATTTCATTATCATGGTCACAGAGTTAAACAGGTACCATGAGTGAATGCATGTGAAGGTGCTTCGGTGCTTCAAGCAGCTTTGCCGTTATAAGTGCTCAGTAGCCATCACCTCTCCTCTCTTACTACCTTCAAGTCATAAGAAAGAATAAGTGGCCCTCGCTAGTGCCTGGCAGCTCTGAGATCTTCGTCGAGGCTCACTGTGTAACTCCCTGTCTTTCCTGCTGCGTCATCCCTGACTTTTGCTGATTCTTATGCTAGGAAACTGGCAGATCTAGGCACCTAGTACTTTACACACAGAAAATGGTTCTTGATTCCATGGTGCCAGTGACCCTGGTTTCTGGCACAGAGATTTCATATCTGGTGCATGTTGGGACTGTGTTTGTATCTGGATCACACTGTTTGAATCAATTGTGTACTTCTCCATCTCACCTTTTAGCAATCTCTACCTTGGAAAACAGTGTTAGGGCAATTGTGCTTCTGAAATCCCATGGGCTGAGCCTAGTGCACTTGAAAAGGCTTATAGGGGGCCTGGCATTGTGGCTCACACCTGTAATCCTAGCACTTAGGGAGGCTCAGGTGGGCAGATCACGAGGTCAGGGGTTCAAGCCCAGCCTGACCAACATGATGAAACTCCATCTCTACTAAAACTACACACAAAAAAATCACCCAGGCGTGGTGGTGTGTGCCTGTAATCCCAGCTACTCAGGAGGCTGAAGCAGGAGAATTGCTTGAACCCAGAGGTAGAGGTTGCCATGAGCAGAGACGGCGTCATTGCACTCCAGCCTGGGTGACAGAGGGAAACTCCATCTCAAAAAATAAAAATAAAAAAGTGTTGGGATTACAGGCGTGAGCCACTGTGCCCAGCCCTGGAAAGCCATTTCTTACTCAGAATATATTTAAGTTTGAAATAGTAGGAGTACACCCTTCTAAAAAAACAAATCCCTTGTTCATTGTAATCTCATAGCATTGTGGAGGGTGAGTGTGGAAAAACCGAACTATGAACCTGTAGGTCCTGCCATGCCCCATTCCCCTCTATATCAATTTTACGTCTAAGGCTTGAATGAATTGTAACAAGCATGTAATGATTTTGGCTGTTTAAGTTGCAGTTTGAGGGTGAAGTGACCTATTAGGCTGATGAGTGCTTTCCTCCTCCAAGACGTGGTCTAGGCTGCTGGCCAGCAGTTAGTGTGAGGTCGAGGGGTTTGGGATCGGGGGAGGAATGACCCTTTGGGTGTTCAGTTGTCTCACGAGGGCTCACCTCCAACTGGCCCTTCCCACGAGCCTCCCCAAAATACCAGAGAGACTTGCATTTACTTCTTACCAGGATTGTTACTTCTGAGTTTTTATCACCTTTTTTTTATGTGGTAAATACTGTCAACTGCTGATAACTTTTATGTGGTGTTTTGCTGACAACAGGTTCAAGGAAGCAGCACACTGTATATTTGCTGGACTGTGTTGGCAATGTCTGCCGTTTTGGGTCCCGTGAATTATTTCATTATGAACA